ACTAAATTACACTTATAGCAACTCTTTGTTTAGTTTTTTATTAGCTTTGTGCTTTGGTTTTGTTTATTTTAATGTCTGTTCATTTTATATTTTCCTTATACTTGGGGTTTTGCTGATTTTAGTTTGTTTTTTTATTAGCTTATAGTTAAGGTTACTATAGCATTTAGCTACTGTTTAGCTAATTTTAGCATTTTTGCCTTTTCTTGTAGCGTTTTAGGTTGGCTTTTGGCTACTTGTCCATTTTAGCTTTTTGCTATGGCTTTGTTGACTGTAATTTTGGTGGCATTAGTTTTTGTTGAGTTAACATTTTAGCTATGCTTTTTCCATTTTAGCTATTGGTTACTGTTTTTGTCCATTTTAGCTTTTGTTAATTTTAGCTTTTAGCATTGACTTTGTTTAGTGAACCTTTTAGCTGAGGTTTTGTTCATTTTAACTTTTTGCTATGGCTTTGTTGACTGTAATTTTGGGGGGATTAAGTTTGCTGAGTTAACATTTTAGCTGTGCTTTTGCTCATTTTAGCTATTGGTTACTGTTTTGTCCATTTTTGCTTTTGTTAATTTTAGCTTTTAGCAATGTCTTTGTCACTGAACTTTTTAGCTGAGGTTTTGTTCATTTTAGCTTTTGCAAATGTTTTGCTAATTTTAGTGCTTCATTCAGGTTTTTGTTGATTTTAGCTGCTTGTTTGAAGTTTAGCAGCAGCTCAGCTTCACTTTCTTGAAGCAGTCACTCAACATGATTCAACATTGAAATAAAAATCTCGTTACCTTAAATATGCTAATATTATCTCCTCAGAATAAAACGCTTCCTTCCTAAATATATTTTAGTAACATGAGAGCTCCTTACTCTGCTTTCCTGGGGAGTCCCACGGAGCGGCAGAGGGTGGAGGGGGTCTGCGGAACCAGGGACTTGCAGCAAGCGCTCCTCTTGTCCTCCTCCGAGGGCTCCGAACCGGCTTGGCTCACTTTGGGGGACTGCGGGGAGGTGGGGACGAGCTGCAGTTGCTGCGGGTGGTGTGAGGGGGGGGCAGGGGGGTGCTGCTGAGGCTGGGCCGCCTGGTTGGTGACCAGCTGCTGCTGCTGCTGCTGCTGCTGGCCGAGGTGCGCCGCAGCCTTGCTGCTGCTCCCCGGGTGCTGGTGGAGGTGGGCCGGGGCTTGGGGACTGGCGCTGCGGTGAGATGGGTGATGGTGGTGGTGATGGTAGTGTTGCTGAGAGGGCTGCTGGACGTAGAGGTGGGGGTCCCGCAGCTGTCGGTTCTCTCCGATCAGGTCCTCCACTTTGCGCTCGAGGTCGTCGATGCGCTGGCGCTGCGTCTGGATCAGACTCTGCTGGTTCTGGACGATGGTGGTGAGCTCCTTCAGATACAGGACGGCTTTCATTGGATTGTCCAGCAGGCTCTCCATCACTGACAGTAGACTGGCTGTGGCAGTGCGCGAGCCCGGTTCTGACGGCTTCCTTTCAGCTGCTCACGCTGTGATCCGTCGATGTGGCCTTCAGGACGGAGCGCATCCGGGTTCTGACGCCTCTACGCTCCTGGGAGGTGGGCAGTTTCAGGGTGTGTGTGTGTGTGTGTGTGCGTGTTTAATGAGGATGCCAGAAATGGTGCTGATGCAAGTGGAGGATGAGCATCAGCAGAGTGCGGAGGCGGGGTCGTAGTGGAACAGTGACATCAGTACGCAGCGCCAATCCTCAAAGTGAATCAGTTACAGGTTATTTTCTTAACATGATTTTAGATAATAATAATAATAATAACAATAATAACAACAATAATAATAATAATAATAATAATAATAAAGTATTCCTAACCCTTCCCAAATTATTCAAAAGAAAAGATACTCAAAAATATAATTGTTTAAACTTGTAAAAAAATAATAATAAAACAGGCATTAATGACAGTGACCTGGCTGCAGTCACAAAATGATTGTTTACCAACATTTTGCTTGTTGCACCATAGGAGACTCAATGAACCATCATTTAGCTCTATAGCAGAACGAGTGTTAGTGGGGACAAAAGGCGCTTTTTGTTCAATGTTTTATGTAAAACATCCCTCCATCCCTTCATTGTCTGATTGAGTTGCAGAGGCAACGTCACTTCCCCCTAGCGACACTCTTTTCTCAGACCAGAGAGGATATACAATCTCTCCAGCAAGTTCTGGGACTATCCAGGTCTGCTCTCAGACTGCAATACCTGTGGAAAAGAAAGGTGACCTTAACTTGAAACAAATGATAAGGAGGAAGATCCAAGAACGTTTCTGATGCATGGCAAATGTTGTGTATTTGACTTCTCCTGCAGCTCATTTGACTTTGTCTGAAAGCTTAAGAAAATGACCAAAATACTTATTTTTAGAGGTTTCTAGTAAAAAAAAATACAGTCTGCATAAAAAAAAGCTCTCCCGGTGCTCTCAAAAGAACAGAAATAAATATAACTAATTAGATCAAGCAAAATATTATTTTATCTTAATTTGTCTTGGTTTCTTTGACGTTTTATTAAATGTGTGGATTAAAATAAGGAGACGGCATGCAGGAATAGAAGGCACAAAAAAATAATAATTCTTGGCCTCAGACTTTATTCCTACTGATGATTTGGAGTGATTGCAGCACTGCATCAAAATGTTAAAAAAAAAAAAAAAAAAAGCCCTCTGGTTGTATTTGTGTTTAACTAGCCTCATTGATTTAGCTACAAAACTGTTTGCAGAGACAGAATCTGATTTATTTGTTAAAGTTTGATGTTAAAGTTTCATCAAACTTTCTTGTAACAGTTGGGAGAAGTTTTGTTTGCCCCACAGTGCAGTGATAAGACCACAGTGAGCCAGTGTGAGAGCAGCCAGCTCCCTCTCCCCATATGGGTGCTTTACAAGCTGCATAAAATAAAAAATGACTTGCATGCCCGGCCATCATCACAAGGCTGGACAGAGCCCAAAAAATAAAAAAAGGGGGTTTTGCAGTAGGAGTGTAAAAAAAAGAAGAGTTCAGGCAGTGACTTTGGTGTCGACATCAGCTGGTAGTCATCCTGGACCCTGCAGTCACCTTTAACACCAATTATCTCTCAGGTGAACATGAGACCTGAGATGGCTGCACAGCTTTTGATCAGAAATGATGGAGAAGGCTCTTTGTGTGAGATGAATGATCAAGTAACTCCTGCAGAGGACAAAATGTTCCACGTCCTCCTCAAAAGTTATAAACTCGAGCTGGATCTCGTGCGCCAGCATCAGTATCTGTTCTTGATAAGTTTTTTTTTTTTTTTTAGTTTGCCTCTTGTTGAATTCTCTACAACTTAATTTCAAAGCTGTTTTTGTCATCCATCATCTTTACAGCCAATGCAATGCAGTGGTGAGAAGTGATAATGGAAAAAACAAAAACTGTCCTCTCATAAATGGGAACCGACTGTTTTAATGTGTCATGTGGTAAACGGTACCAAGAGACACCTTCATACAAGATTTACATGAAATTTTCATTAAAATGTTCCTATTGTTTAAAAGGAAAGCCTGTTGGAAGAAGTGTTTGGCACTTGTCATATTTGTAGTAGTCACAGCAGAGGAACGAACAGACTCAACAATTCTGAATAAAGGTAACATTTTACTTTGAAGTATTTCCAGGAGGCACTGGGAGGATCTGCAAAGGAGAGTAATGCTGTGGTGAAGTTAGTATCTTCTTACAGATCCCTTGTGGTCTGATAACACTGAGAGAAGGTGGAGGAGTCCAGGTACGTATAGTCCCTCGCTACTTTGCGGTCTCGCTCTTTCACGGTTTTTCAAAGTAAGACTGAACACGAGGATTTTTTTTTTTAATTAAATTGTACATGACATACAACGGTCAACTTTAATATTACTCACGTGATTGGGACAGTACTGGATACTGTACAGTGAAAAGTTAACCAAAAAATACAATACTTCGGACAGGTGCTGCCATTTTTGTAGTTTTCTTTCAATAAGCCTGCACTGTATCCCCGCTCATAAGGACTACATTTCCCATAAACCCCGTTTACTTCTGCTGAAATATGTAGAGGGGATGTTTTGATCAGATCAGAAAAAGTTTGGGCCTTCAAAGTGACTTTGGCACCCAGCGGATTTAGAGAGCCGCGCAGAATCCACCAGGAACAGGACCAGAACCGGAGCAAGACCAGACTTCCAGACCCATCGGCGAATCCAAGAGCAGGTAGCCAGCCCACGACAATTTCCGAGCGGGGGAGATGTCGCCGAAGGTCTGGCTACTCTCTGTAGCACACCGAGACTTTTTAAATATCGTTATTGGACCACCGGTCCCGCGCTGACCACATGAAGATCCGGCCCCTCCCCAAAAATGCACTTGGGTGCTCAACGGCTGCACAGAACCGGATCAGAACTGGAGCAGAGCCGAGAGTCACTGCCGTTCTGCCAGCTGGTGAGTAAAATTTAGTAGCTACATATGTATGTTGTTAAAATGACGCAGGTTTAAGAGTTTAGAGCATTACAAAAGTCTGTAAAGGGTTTATAAAGCCTTAAAATATATATATATATATATAAATACTAAAATAAATATTACGTAGTGGATTTTCACTTATTGCAGGGGCATCTGGAACGTAACCCCCACAATAAACGATGGACTAATGGCAGAAATGGAGGTGATGATGGTGGGTACCGTATTGGATTGTGGGCAGGCAGGTTGGTGAGCAGCTGGTTTTAGACAGAAGACAAGTGGCACCAGGAGTTCTAGGGCAGATTCCAGCAAAGAAGAGATCACTTCAGCCGTTTTTTATACTCCTGAAGGCAGCTCATCGCTGGAATAGACCACAGCTGCTGCTCACTGGTGCTACCCAGCAGGAAAAACATTGGACTCTCACAGCACTTGAGTCAGAATCTAAATAAAATTATGTCCTGAGATGACTTGTTGGTTGTAGGTATACATATTCACATGGGCATGAATGTACAAAAAATAGATTAAAAAAAATAAAATAAAATATTTTAGGCTCAAATCAAAGAGGACACTTTTTTTTTCTTGTAAAGAACTGAACATAAAGTATTAAAGTGAATAATAAAATCCTGAAGGAAATTTGTCAATAAAACATATAATTTTTAGAAATGCCTGTGGAGTATGAAGGACAACGAGGAAAGGAATTACTTTGTAAAATAAATGAAAAGGCAAACCATTTAGCATAAAGTAAATGTTAATAACGTTCAATCAACAAGTTAAAGTGACTAAAGTCATTATCTTAGAGCTGCACTTAAGATGATCCAGCCAAGCAGTAATATTACTGCACTATTTTAATTTCAAAAGGAAAAACTTCTTATTTAATGTTTATAATAAGGTAAGTATAAGGTTTCCAACATGTAATGTTGGTTTGGCAAAATGTACTTGAAAAGTTCATTTTGAACCACATTTATACAAATAGTCTGCAATGATTTGGTGTCTAAAAAAGTAAAATCTGGTCCTCTGGACATTCAAAAAAACCCAAAACAAAGCAAAACAACAAAAAAATGTAGAAACGTTTCGTCTCTCGTCCGAGAGACTTCTTCAGTCTGAGGTGCTGTTTTCAGCTCAGTCTCTTAAATAGCACCTTCTCAGGGTGGATCAACCAGTTTTGCTGCTGACAACCAAAACCAGCTGATCACATGCTCAAGAAGGACCATCAGCCTAACAATGGATCATTAGCACACTGATGGCTGTGTACTATTCGCAGAGGGCTGAGTGATACTAGCAATCACAGCATTGTAAGAGGGGGACAATTGAACACGTAGGCCTCCACCCCTGTTTAATGATGGACGGTTTCTTTTCACAAAGATGGCCTCCTTTACTCCTCTCTCAAACCATCGTTCCTCTCTATCCAGGATGTGAACATCTTCATCCCTGAAAGAGTGACCGCTGGCCTGGAGATGAGTGTAGACCGCAGAGTCCTGGCCTGATGATGTTGATCTTCTGTGCTGGGCCATCCTTTTGGCCAGTGGCTGTTTTGTTTCCCCGATGTAAGACTGATCACAGCCCTCCTGACACTGAACAGCATACACAATATTACTCTGTTTGTGCCGGGGGACTGGATCTTTGGGATGAACCAGTCTTTGCCGTAATGTATTTTGGGGTTTAAAAGCCACTGGGACGTAATGTTTAGAAAATAAACGTCTCAGTTTCTCTGATACTCCCTCAACATATGGAATGACCACTGGTCTGGGTCTGGGTTCCTCCTTTTCACCTGTTGGCTGACTGGAGTCCTGTTTGGGTTTCTTCTCTGCTTTTAGGAAGGCCCAGTTAGGATATCCACATTGCTCTAGAGCCTGTCTTGTGTGGGATTTCTCCTTCTGCCTGGCTCCTGAGCTAGTGGGGACACTGTCTGCTCTGTGATACAGAGTCCTGATGACTCCTAACTTGTGCTCCAAAGGGTGATGGGAGTCAAACTGCAAATACTGGTCTGTGTGGGTGGGTTTGCTGTACACCTCGGTTTGCAAATGTCCTCTATCAGAGACTGAGACCTCACAGTCCAAGAAAGCCAACTTGTCATTTTTTACATCTTCTCGTGTGAACTTGATGTATTTATCCACAGAGTTGATGTGGTCAGTAAAATGTTGGACTTCCTGAGATTTAATTTTAACCCAGGTGTCGTCAACATACCTGAACCAATGACTTGGTGGTGTCCCTGAAAAGGACGTCAAGG